TTCCCATTGGAATTAATAAAGCATTTCGATTGTTTACATTTCTTTATATTATCTAAACACAATTGCGTTGCTAGGCAACAGCATGGTTCCATTCTTACTTCCTGTCAGCTGATGTCCTTCAGTCCTTATTTGGAATGGAACCTTCAGAATTATGACATCATCTTTCGCCTTTATGTAGAATTCTGAATTCTGCATTGATCTTCTAGAATTCATCAGAGCATCAGAGCACCAGAGCAGCAGGCAGAAGCAATTTGTCCAGCTAGTGTCAGATCATTGCAGAAATAGGTTTTGTTGCAAGCAAACATTAGGGATACTTGCAGTGTTTTTTAGCGAGATAATCTTCACAAGTGAACTCAACTTTTGTGGGATTTTTGTGACGTTAATTCAGTCGAACAATTACATTTAGTTTGCTAAACAACAGGTCATTTCGTCACAGCAGTAGAGATGGAGATGAACAATAGAGATGAGCTGGCAGTCAAGCTCGAGATTCTGCAAAAAGAAAATCAGGAGCTGGAGCAGGAGAGGACTTTAAGGGATAAGCTTGAGATTGAAGGCACTAAAAAGAAGGAAGCGATGCTCAAAGCATATACAGAGAAATCAGCTTTGCAGTTTAAGCACAATGTGAAAGTGAAAGTCCAGGAAATTGAGCAGAACGTCTTGCGCGTCAACAATGAGGCCCTGAACATGAAATACAGAAACCTCCAGAGGTCACACAAGAAGGTCGAAGCCAAGATGCCTGCCTTGAGAAAGGCAAACCAGGAACTCAAACAACTGAAAGAACCCTTTGTTGAGGAGCAAGGTGTAGAGATGGCTGCTTTGTGTGAGACAAATCAGGAACTCCAACAACAGAAGCAGCGTTGTGTGGAGGAGAAGGATAAAGAGATAGCTGCCTTGCTGAAGGAAAACAAAACACTGAAACAAGAGAAGGAGCGTTGTGTTGAGGAGAAAGATGCAAAGACGGCCGCCTTGCAAAAGACTAACCAAGAACTCAAACAACAAAAGTTGCGTTGCGTTGAGGAGAAAGATGCAGAGATAGCTGCTTTGCTGAAGGAAAACCAAACACTGAAGCAAGAGAAGGAGCGTTGTGTTGAGGAGAAGGTGGACAAGAAGGAGGATGTGGAGGTGAAAGTGGAGGTGGAACCAGAAGTGAGGCATGATTTTCAAATGAATGCCCTGGAAATTGAGCAGAAAGTATTGCGCTTGAACAATGAGGACCTGAACATGAAATATGGGAAGCTCCTCAAGTTGCATGAGAAGGACAAAGCAGAGATGGCCGCCTTGGAAAAGGCAAACCAGGAATTCGAACAACAAAAGGCACGTTGTGTTGAGGAAAAGGTTGCAGAGATGGCTGCCTTGCTGAAGGAAAACCAAACACTGAAACAAGAGAAGGAACGTTGTGTAGTGGAGGAGGCGAAGGTGGACAAGAAAGAGGTTGTTGAGGTGAAAGTGGAACCAGAAGTGAGGCACGATGTGAAAATGAATGCCCTGAAAATTGAGCAGAAAATCTTGCGCGGAAACAATGAGGAACTGAACATGAAATATGGAAAGCTCCTCAAGATGCACGAGATGGACAAAGCAGTGATGGCCACCTTGAGAAAGGCAAACCAGGATCTCAAACAACTGAAAGAACCCTGTGTTGAGGAGAAGGATGCAGAGATGGTCGCTTTGCATGAGAGAAACCACGAACTGGAACAACAGAAGGAACGTTGTGTGGAGGAGAAGGATGCAGAGATAGTCGCTTTGCATGAGAGAAACCACGAACTGGAACAACAGAAGGAACGTTGTGTGGAGGAGAAGGATGCAGAGATAGTCGCTTTGCATGAGAGAAACCACGAACTGGAACAACAGAAGGAACGTTGTGTGGAGGAGAAGGATGCAGAGATAGTCGCTTTGCATGAGAGAAACCACGAACTGGAACAACAGAAGGAACGTTGTGTGGAGGAGAAGGCTGCAGAGATAGTCGCTTTGCATGAGAGAAACCACGAACTGGAACAACAGAAGGAACGTTGTGTTGAGGAGAAGGATGCAGAGATAGTCGCTTTGCATGAGAGAAACCACGAACTGGAACAACAGAAGGAACGTTGTGTGGAGGAGAAGGCTGCAGAGATAGTCGCTTTGCATGAGAGAAACCACGAACTGGAACAACAGAAGGAACGTTGTGTTGAGGAGAAGGATGCAGAGATAGCCGCCTTGCTGAAGAAACAGCTGAAAAAACCACCAAAGGCACTCTCCATGGTGAAGGAGGAGCTTGTGGAGGTAAAGGTGGAGTTGGAGGTGGAACAGGAAGTGAGGGTGGATCCACCTGAGCAAACCAATGAGCCGATCCCAACAACGCAGAGGAGGACAACACCACGGTGGAGAAGATTCATCAATTCCTTTTCTTGTATCCGCCCAAACATCAACGATGACTAAAAAGGAAAACATAAGACTCAAAGGCACCCCTGACATCGGCTTTAAAAACTTTAAAAAACAAACTCACAACATCAAAAATTAGTAAGACATTAAAACATTTCAAGTACAGTCTAAAGCTCAAAGTGAGTGAGCAACAACATATACTCACAGCCAGTCAGGATATATATTTAAACACTTAACAGTTATTAGATCTGGTTAGACATCAACAAAGGTTCCAGAAGAGACTCACAGTGATGTGCAGTTTTAGCCACTAGGGGCAAAAAAACAACCTTAATTTTAAAATAAATAAACTATTCCTTTGCTTCTAGCACCCCTAAATAAGAGGAACATTTAGTCATTACAAGTTATCAGGTTTATGTTATATCGTCATGTTTGGTTTATAGTGTTCATTTTCATATTTAAGTTATATTTTTCATATTTACTTAATAGTTCATTTTTATATTTATGTTATATTTATCATGTTTAGTTAATAGTCAATTTTTATATGTATCTTATATTTTTCATATTTACTTAATAGTACATTTCTATATTTATGTTTAGTCCATTGTTTTCTTGTTAAGTTAAAGTCTTGTCAATCAATAAAAAAATAATAACAATACTGACACGTTTGATTTATTTCACGTTTGTTTCTCCTGTCTAAGTTTAGCTTCTTGCTTTTAATTTCAAGTCACCAGAGATTTAGTCTGAGAATTCAACTAATAATAACAATCAATACAAAGACATTCAAATTCAAAATAACACTAGAATTCTTTCTCGTTTGTTCCTCCTGTTTTTGTCTAGTTACCTTTGTATTGAGTGACTTTAGCTCACCTGGCTCTGCCCTGATCAATACACTGACTTAAAGCTACTTCAGTACTTACTTTATTACCTTGTTTACATTCAACAATTATCATAATAAATATAAACAAATGAAAAAACAACACTATGTATTTGATTTCTTTCAAGTTTGTTTTAGTCAACTATTTGATTTTAAATGCAACAGCACCAGCAAAAGTAGATTTTTTTTTACATTTCTGCTGATGTCCAGATGTACAGTATATCAGTATGTAGTGTCTCTACTTTAAAGAGTCCTCTCCTGCTGATGTTCAGGTGTATATCAGTATGTAGTGTCTCTACTTTAAAGAGTCCTCTCCTGCTGATGTTTAGGTGTATTTCAGTATGTAGTGTCTCTACTTTAAAGAGTCCTCTCCTGCTGATGTTCAGGTGTACTGTATATCAGTATGTAGTGTCTCTACTTTAAAGAGTCCTCTCCTGCTGATGTTCAGGTGTACGTAGTCCCTCTACTTTAAAGAGCTCTCTCCTGCTGATGTTCAGGGTGTACTGTATATCAGTATGTAATGTCTCTACTTTAAAGAGTCCTCTCCAGCTGATGTTCAGGTGTATATCAGTATGTAGTGTCTCTACTTTAAAGAGTCCTCTCCTGCTGATGTTCAGGTGTATATCAGTATGTAGTGTCTCTACTTTAAAGAGTCCTCTCCTGCTGATGTTCAGGTGTATATCAGTATGTAATGTCTCTACTTTAAAGAGTCCTCTCCAGCTGATGTTCAGGTGTATATCAGTATGTAGTGTCTCTACTTTAAAGAGCTCTCTCCTGCTGATGTTCAGGTGTATATCAGTATGTAGTGTCTCTACTTTAAAGAGTCCTCTCCTGCTGATGTTCAGGGTGTACTGTATATCAGTATGTAATGTCTCTACTTTAAAGAGTCCTCTCCTGCTGATGTTCAGGTGTATATCAGTAGTGTCTCTACTTTAAAGAGTCCTCTCCTGCTGATGTTCAGGTGTATATCAGTAGTGTCTCTACTTTAAAGAGTCCTCTCCTGCTGATGTTCAGGTGTATATCAGTATGTAGTGTCTCTACTTTAAAGAGTCCTCTCCTGCTGATGTTCAGGTGTATATCGGTATGTAGTGTCTCTACTTTAAAGAGTCCTCTCCTGCTGATGTTCAGGTGTATATCAGTATGTAGTGTCTCTACTTTAAAGAGTCCTCTCCTGCTGATGTTCAGGTGTATATCAGTATGTAGTGTCTCTACTTTAAAGAGTCCTCTCCTGCTGATGTTCAGGTGTATATCAGTATGTAGTGTCTCTACTTTAAAGAGTCCTCTCCTGCTGATGTTCAGGTGTATATCAGTATGTAGTGTCTTTACTTTAAAGAGTCCAACAATTAGATGGAAAACAGCTGCAAAGAGACAGAAAATTACAACAAAGAGACAATTAATCACCATAAAAAAATATTTTAGTAGAGAAATGTTTTCATTGAAGTTAATGTGTTGAAGGGAATCCTGTAAAAAAAAGTTTTATTCAAAATGGCACTTTATCAAAATGCAATTGAGTGCAACTTCAACGTAAATGTATTTTTGGTTCCTATTAGATAAGATGTACTTTATTGATCCCAAATTGGGAAATGTTTGCGTTGCAGCAGCATAAAAAACAAGGCATTGCACATCATTAGAAATTAAAAGAGTAGAAATAAACATTTCAAAAATTTGAAACATATCAAAATAGAAATTAAAAAGTAGAAAATATGCATTTGACGTGAAGATGAAACATATATACATTACATACATTAAGACCATTTCCCCCCGAGCTTACCTCCAGAGTAGTTAAGACGATTTTGGTTACAGAAGAAAAGTAGGCGTCCCACAGGAACTGAGTCTGCTGGCGGAGAGCCAAGATCCTGTCACGGCCCACGGAGCGAGTAATGGAGGGAACCTGGAGGAAGAGGGGAGGAAAAGCCAGAGGACAGAAAAGACAGTGAGATGGATTGAGTTAGATTTTAAACAATGTTGAGTGAGAGGGAAAAAAAAGGCAGAGGAAGCATAAGTAATTTTGTGGACGTGCAGAAAAGATTAGAGGAAATTCTTTTTTCCCTTTCAGCAGCACATCTTACTCAGCCTGTCAACAAGCTTATCCCCAGGACAGATTGCAAACAAACCACCTGCCGTCCATCTCCAAACTCTGCTCACACCTTCTGTTAGGAAGTATTAAGTGTCGACTAGAAAGAGCCATTTAAAAACAGTTTCAAATCAATAAATGCTTCGAGCAGGACAATGTTTTTTTGTGACATACACTGCCCTATTAGATAGACCCCAACGTGTTCCAAATGGGTTCTTTAAAACCTGTCTTTTAGTCGGATGGTATTGCCTACCGTTAATTGTATAAAAGTGTATATTTGTACAATATGTGATCCAGGAATTGTTGACGTTTAGATAATTTTTTCAGTGGGTTTTGTTAAGTTCACATTTATACTAACACCACATGTTGGGACATAATCTGGATATATTTCCTCAAGAATCAAAGTGTTACTCCTGTGCAGTCGTCTTGTTGTACTGTAGTAGCTAGTTTGGTGGTCATTGTGATAATAAATGAAGTTAATTTCTTCCTAAACTCATATATGTGCAATACAGTATATATATTTGACTGATAATATAATATTCCAAGATAGCTGAGTACAATCTTTCCACAAACCCCTTGAAACTTGCCGTACATCACATGGTAATACCAGAAAGGTCTTAATGATTGTGCATTTTTCTACTCCTTTAAGGTCTTTAAGGTCCTGGTACTATTTCCACCTTACTGTCTTCTGTGTATCTGCGACACTGTACTTGTATGCACTTGTCTTGTAACTCCTATAACACTAAATAAAAAGACGATTGTGCATTTTTTAGTTTTCTTTGGATAAATATCAAATGATAAAATAAATTGTCCAGATGTGTTTTTGTGCCTCGAACAGCTTCAAAGGAAGTTCTGCGACAGCAACAAGCTCTGCATAGGATCCTGAACGACCGGCTCCTGGTGGAAAACTGCAGGTCCCAGATCTGATTGTCATGGAGGACAGGAGCAGCTGTTGTGCCTCGCAGCAGAAACACCTCGGGGAGAGGCAGTGAGGGGAGGAAATCAGGAGAGGAGAGGGAGAGAGGATCCTGCTAAACATCCTGCAGGGTGCTCTCGGCGCTCTCGTAATGCTCAGTTTGGAGAAAAACAAAGTAGCTACTTGATGAGGTCAGACAGGACCTTAGCTGCTGCTTCACAATGAGGCTGAAGAGGGAATGATGAAAACGATGTTCCTGATCAGCTCTCAGGAGGAGGAGGAGGAGGAGGAGGTGGGGCTCAGGACCCTTCTGGTGATCTGGCCACCATCCTGGAAGCTCTTAAGTTTTATTGCCAACAAAGTCAGTGGAAAAGTACGGAAGCCCTGAGAGGGTTGGGAGAGTTATGATTTCTGGTGATTCATTTTTTCTCAGTCTGATTTAAATTGTTTTCTCTTCTGTCTTTGGCACTATGAGACAGGTGAAAGCGCACATTTGGCAAGGATATTTCTTTAGGTTTCTTAAAGCGGCGCTATTATGCAAATGTTCTCGCTACGCAAGGAAACTACATCAGGAAAATGTCAGGCTGCTCTCAGACTTCACATACTTAGTATATAACCAACATAATCGTATATGTAGACGGTATAAAGAGAGACAGTGACAGGAGAAGGTTTTGGTGGAAAAACAAAGGACACCGCTCCTAATGGCGCTTTTCCACTGCAGGGCCTCGCTCGGCTTAGTACGGTATGGCTAGGCCTCGTTAGGCCTTGGTAGGCCAGGCTCACTTTATGCTGCGTTTCCATTACAGTTTAGTAGCTGGGGTAGTAACTGTAGTAACGCAGTGTAGGCGGAGCTGTGACGTCATCTTCAATGCGAAACACAAAACCAACATCAGCCGTTAGCTGTTAGCACTCAGAGCTCACAGCTCCTCACATCTGTTCAGAAACTAGACAAAAGTTAAACAAGTACAAACCACAGACTGTCTGTGTCATGGCGAATACAGTCGCTGCTTTATTTATGTCTGTAGGCCGTTGTTGTGCGTGTGGACGGTCGGAGCATATACTGCGTTAGCTTAGCCGATCTCCATTTAGAAAACACGCATTTTAAAAGGTGTTTCGCCTGCCGTCTGTCTGCAGACTTGTCACAGCATTAATTCATAGTTTTTACTAACCGGTATCAGTATGTTGTTACTTCGGCATCATTTTGAAACGTGTATTACAATTAAATCACGGTCAAATATGTTCATTTTGTTGTAGTTGCCAGTGATTCTCTCACTAGTTTAGCATACTCAGCCCGGTTGTTGGCCCGGAAAGAACCTCGATTTTGGAGAGCCAGAAAAACTGTGAAAAAGTACCCGCTACCCGGAACTACGCCTAGTGGAAACGCAACCAAAAACGGGCCGGGCACGGCACGCTTAAACCGCGCTGTAGTGGAAATGCGCCATTAGTGTCCTCTTTGAAACAGAAGTACATTTTCAGATTTATGTATATCACTTTAGTATGTTTTGTTGCATGAAGCATCTGATATTATTGGCATCATTATTGGCTCTGTTGTGATTGGTCAACTGATCAGTGTTTAATAGTGATTTTTACAATGTACTCTGGTTCCTTTGACTTAAGGGCAAGGAAGATTAAATCATTGTTGAGAGTTTTTTGAAGAAATGCCACTTGAAATGTAAATCAATACCATTTAATTAGCAATTTGTAAGCTATCCAGATCTGTTGGACAGTAGTGTGAGAAGCATTTACATGTACTAAATTAAATACCAGACAAATTCATAAAGTGATCCCATGTCACATTGTTTTAAAAATAATTGAAGTATTTCTTCATTTCAAGACATTTGAAATTGAAGGTTCTAATTTATATTAATTACCTTAATGCCTCCTTTTAAGGATAAGCGGGACCACTGTAATTTCCTAGTGAAGTGTGTAAACTCTGATAGAAAATAGGGTTAGAATAAAGCGTCCCAGTCTCTAACGGAGGATGCTCTGATGTTGACGTGGGAACCGACGACAGCAGAGCGAGATTTAATTGTTCCGCTCTCTGAGGTGGAATATAAACAACAGCAATCAAATCAGCTCAATTCTCTTCCCTCCATTGACTTTAATAGTGTTTATGTTTCTCAGCAGGGGCATTGTGTATGTGTGTGTGTGTGTGTGTGTGTGTGTGTGTGTGTGTGTGTGTGTGTGTGTGTGTGTGTGTGTGTGTGTCTGAGTGTGCAGTGCATGATATCTCCTCTCCACAGGGGGATCAGAAACTCTACATATTAAACAGCCAAGTATTGCACTCCTCGGTGATGTAATTGAAAGTAATGAGATTCAACTCTCTCAGCAGGTGTTGTGCTGCACAGTGAGTGTAAGTGTGTGTGTGTGTGTGTGTGTGTGTGTGTGTGTGTGTGTGTGTCTAATTCAGAAAAATAAAGTAAGACACTAGGGCAAGCATCCAGAATCCCTTTACCAACAGGAATCATGTTTGTTTCATTTAACACCGCACAAATGATGTCATCATGCCCCAAATGTGTGCACCAAATATTGTAATGCTTATAATTGCTTTTGTTAGTTGAACTGAGCAATAAAGCCAACATGCTGAGCTTGAAGGATAAATAAAGTTCCTTAAAGGAGAGGTGTCATGCTTTTCCGGTTATTACCCGTCCCCTTGTGTGTTATGAAGGTTTTTATGCATGTAAATGGTGTGCAGAGTCACAACCCTCAAAGTACACCCTGTAGCGAGTAAAACTCTAACACAGAAAAGACCTCCCCAAAACGCCTCGTTGGAGATACGTCATTGCCCATTTGATTCTTCCGGGTACGGCATGATGTCAACCCGTACCCGGAACGAAATGGACCAATCCGTGGAGCCGTTACGTTACGTCCGCGGAGCCGTTACGTTAAGCCCCCGCTGATTGGTCCAAATTGACCAATCCACGGACTTCCTCACACACACATCTGTGTGCAGGGAGCAGGCAGCTCAGCTGATTTCTCCTCCCTGGCTGCAGGCTGATAACAGACAGTTGGGATGGCGGCGAAATTCTCTCTGCAGACCCATTCTCACAGCGTTTATCAACCTTTTTCTTACTCAATATCAAGCCACACTTATTGTTTTTACTTCGACTGTGACTTTGTGTGTGCTCAGGATGAGTTTGGCTGTGTTTCGCTATGTATCCTAAACAAGGAAACAACACCTCCACGGAGCTCAGCGCGATTCACAACATCCCGACCAATCAGAGCACACTGTGCTCACAGGGAGGGTGGGGGCTGGAGCTTTGGGAGCTACAACGAGCCGTTAAAGGCAGAGAGTGAAATTCAGTGAATACACGTAGTTTACAGAGATGCTGGATGAGAAACCAATGTGAGTTTGGAAAAATGCACAGGATAAATCTATTTTAGTAGACCTCAACAATGGAATTATGATCAGTGGAAATGGCCATGACACCTCTCCTTTAAAGGTGTCGATGAAGTCCGAAAGATTTCATTTTTTGGTCTCTACGGCTAGTGTTTATCAAAGCTTATAAATAAGCACACGCATTACAAGGTAACCCCCGTTTTCATGTCTAATAAATCAACACAGGCAAATTAATTCATGTGTGAAATACAACACATAAAAACATAAAGAATCATTTACGATTTTGGTGTAAAAAGTTAAATCTTTTTAATTGTTTTGTTGGTCCCCACATCAATTACACATTTGGATTCTTAGACGCCAAGCATGTAAGAAACCAGGTATTTTATTATTGGCTCTAAACCTTTAATAGTTGCTCATACATCTGCAATATAAAGCAACTTAAAGTGAAAATGCTTGTTTTGTTCAAACTCTGTAATAGTGAAGCCTATTTTCAATCAGCCAGCTTTTAGATAGACGTTTGTGTAATATTAAGAGAAAAACTAAAACCTCAAGATTGGTCTAAAAGCCAAGTTTGTACTTTCAATAGAAGCCTGTCTGTTAGTGTGATTCACAGAGAAACACTATCATGGTGCTGATGGAGCGATGTTAGCGTGACACACACACACACACACACACACACACACACACACACACACACACACACACACACACACACACACACACACACACACACACACACACACACACACACACACACACACACACACACACACACACACACACACACACACACACACACACACACACACACACACATACTCCCACTCCCTGTGCAGGTGGCTGCATAGGTCACACAGGTGGCATGTGGAAATATAGAGAGTAATTACAGAATGTAAATATCACGAGTTCTGCACACTGCCTTAATTAAAGGGAACAGAAGGAGATCACATTGTGGAATAATGTGTCTTCGATAAAAATAGTCCCTGGCGGAGGTGCGAGTGACTGTGAATATCACAGCTGTCATGTCAGAATAAAATCAAATCCATTAAAAGGCACGTGAATGCAATTCGATTTCCATCCCTTCCTGAAACACACGTCAACACGTCAGTTATGGGCTGATGGATGTTAAAAGTTAATTATACACTCTGCGCTGAAAGGAACATTTGCCACCCACAAAACATCTCCTCATGTTGACGATGGTAAACTCTCAGTAATTCAATTTTTCTGAATAAAAACATGAACCTTTTTAATAAATGAATAGCCATTTCTTTAAAGATTTGCAACACACGTTTGTTACTATGGATTTAAGAGTGATTTCTGATCTATGCGTTGTGCTTCTGTGTTTGAATCCCAGCTGGATGCTTGTGATCCCTGCTGGGCGGATGATGTTATATTAGGGGAAGATGTTGGCATTTCAACACCAAGACACTGGATTAGCCCCTCCAGAAAGGCCACATGTTATCCTCACTTGTCAACATACGATTGAATTTGTTCATAAGTAATTACAATAACTAAGTTCCATTAAACACAATGATGCCTTTTCAATGTATTCTCATATTCTATTTTATGAAAAGGTATTTTGTCATTTTTCATGCGTTCTCCTACATATGTCCGGCAACTACATAAATCCGTGCAAGCTCATGCACTTCAGAAACTGTTCATGCAACAAAACGTACTTAAGTGAAGTAAACAATTCAGCGGTAGCGGTGTCTTTGGTTTTTGGACCAACCCATCCACCAAAACCTTCTCCTGACACAGACTTTGTTGCTTATACTATCTGCCCTCACAATTATGTGTACAACTTATTATTATTTGGGTGAGTATATCAAGTCTGAGAGCAGCCTGACATTTTCCTGATGTACCTTCCCTGCGAAGTGGCAGACTTTACTGACTTTACAAACCATATGTTTACTATCAAGAAAAAAAGAGTCTTCATTTGAGGCAGAAGTTTTATTAATGTCATGAAATGAAACCTCGCTCTGATTTGCTTCTTAAAGTAACGCAAACCATTTCCTGTCCGCTGTGAAGTGGCATTTTTATTGTTTCTTGTTGAAAGAGTTCTAATCATTGAATAATATCTATATACAGACAAGGCCATTTGCACAATAGAGAGGCGAAGTCCCTCCTTTTCCGGGGGACCTCCGCCTTATTTCGGAAAAAGTATGTATTGAAGTCAATGGAGAGAGAAAGATTATCTTTCGATCCCGTTTGAATTGTGCCACGAATTACACATATGATGTTTGTCAATTTAAAAGATAATTTTACAAGTCAAAATAATAAAAATGTGTCGTAAAACTGTGAAGTAAAATTTTTTTTGGTGTGAAACCGCTCAATGAACTACATCTCCCGTCTCGCACCACACACCAAGACGGCCGTCACGTTGGCACATTTCACTTCTTTCTTTCAGAATGAGGCGGAAAGTATTAAAAGAGGTGAAAATCACTCCAAGTCTGGGCATGTTGAGAGCTGTACATACACACAAGGGGAGTTAGTAGGTTCCGTAAGAGCCAGCATGCGGGACCGGGATTCTGGGATTTGTAGAGTTTCTAGTTGCGTATTTTTCATAGTCTTATATTTCAACAGTTTTACGACAAATTGTGACTTTTTTGACATGGAAATTATTTTTTAAGATTGACAAACATCATATGTGTAATTCGTGGCACAATTCAAACGGGATCGAGAGATACGTTTTCTCTCCCCATTGACTTCAATACATAATTTTTCCGAAATAAGGTCCCATGGAGGTCCCCCGGAAAGGGAGGGACTTCGCCTCTCTATAGGCGTCGCCCTTATAGAAATAATAGTATAGTACTATATATTCTTAAATGTAATGATAGTATATTTTTGCCACATGTGTGCTGTTCCCTCTGTGTCCATCCACATTTGCACACGTGCAATATTGTATATAGTAATAATAAATCATGCATTCCTGTACATCCCTGCTTGTCCCTTCTTTGTATATCTCTCCTGTTTTCTTGCTGTAAATCCCACCCATCCTATCCTCCGCCCCGGTGTTACCTGTAGCAGAAGCCTCTCATCTCCAATGATGGCGGCTTTCCTCCAGTCGATGACTTCAGAGAAGGGAAGCTCCCAGCCGTTACTCAGGATCACCGGGATACACGCCGCCTGTTAAAAGAGAAGGAGGAGACAAATATAAATCCTCTAAAATGTCGGGGAACTAGAGTTGAATAAAACACAGTGGTGAAAATATCTTTACACACTTTCACTTTAATAAAGAATTATATGAATGGTTTGATGAACTTTCTGTGTCCTTCTAGTAGGATTTTGTTAGTCTACTTAAGCTTTGGATGTTATTGCAAGTTGGCAATGAATCATGTCTCAAGTTTTCCCCGTCAGAGGACTGTTTTAGCATCAAATACAAAATAATATATTCACTGTTGACAAGTTTTCACAACTTGAAAGAGAAGGAGAAAAATCCCAGAGACACATGAGCACTGGGAGGAAATATTCCTGATCCTCTTAGGTAGCTCCTCTCTGAAGACGCTCTTTCAACACCTTCCAAGGGAGTTTTGCAGAAACAAACAGAGTTGCCAAAAAGATTAAGGACAAAAAAAAAGTGTATTTTATTTATTTTCACTGCGTGCATCAATATTTAGAGGATTCATTAGTGGGCTTTAATTCAGCAGGGGCTCTTTGAATCTCCCCACAGGAGCTCTCTGTGTTTCTGTGAAGTGACTTAATGATGAGGCTTTGGAAAGTGTCCGTCATTGGCTTTGTTAATGTGTTATTAATACATTGGAAAGTATCTGTTTACTAGGTTTGACTTAAATCCATAAACCTGTGGTGCAACTTTTGATATATTCTCATTTTTAATAATATGAAATCAATGTAAATTAGAATTAACAAAAGATTGCGAATGATCAAAAACTATAACTCATCATTGGATGTGGTGACTAATCATATATAGTTTCATCATACAGTATATATCCACAGATACTTTTTGTAGTATTATCAAATAAATACATCATACAGTACTTCTTTGGGATTTTAGCCTTTGGAGACCATTTACATGCACCAAAACTTATATAACACACTGCAGGAAAGGGAAAACCCGTAAAAGTACAAAAGGGCCTCTTTAAACTACTCAAAAATGCTAATTATATTTTTTGTAAAAGAGGACTGATGGAGTGATTATAGTCACACGTCACATGGGTCATGGCTTCACTATAATGACTGATGATTTGTCCATGTATTCTTTTGGGAGTTGGGGTAAAAATTAAATATAGGTCTTTTCATTTAATGTTCAAGTTGGGCTGCATCTCAATCAAGTGAAGCTGAGAGATGAAAGGAGATTCACAAAATGCGGCTGCATGATCAGTGACCTGCTCGTTCTCCTGGCTTTCATTAGTCTGGCTTTGTGAAATCACTTTTTATTTTCTTGTCTTTTAACCACCGCCGTCGTCTTACATGTCTCTTTGTTTTTCTGTCCTCTGAATGTTGAGGATTCGTTTTACCTTCGCACAAAGGAACTCTTTTTCCTCTTTTGGATTTCCACCTCTCGATTGAGTTGAGTGAAAAAGCCCTTAAATAATCAGCATGACTATAACATGAATTGAAAGTAATTGACTTTTTTCCTTCCAATCATTCTTCCTATTCCTTTGTAATGTCACAACAACAATCCTCCTCTACCTGCACATTTCTTTAACATAAAATAGGGCCCAATATGGTGCCAAAAGTGCCAATTACAGACTTTAAAGGGGGTTGATGAACTTGGTTTATTTATTTGAATGTATAACCTGCCCATACTTCAGGTGAAAATGTGCCTTTTGATGTTTATTAAAGCAGAAAGCATAAAAGGTCCTCTATAAAAGCCTATGTGTTACTGACTTCAAGGCACTCATTCTCCAGGAAAAAGACATGCATGCACACATCAAATACAAATATCAAGATTGTATTTTGCCAATTGGTGGCCTAACCCATCATTTCTCTATAGACAGCAGCTGATTCTGCGTTGTGACGACAGAGGACGCACACACGCATGCAAAGTGAGGACAAACAAGAAGAATTTAAACAATACAAGACAGAGTCAGATACTTAATGTCAACACAACACAGAGACAGATGGAAACAAGTTGCTAATGTAAGATGAACACGTCTGAGGTCTGAGGGTGGTTCTGTTTTTCTCGCTGGTGTATCTACAGAAACAGGCTTTTTCTGTGGCAGGGAAATGACAGGTTGTCAATAGTAATAAGATCAGCTGTTGCTACGAGGAAGACAAGGAACTTGATTTGTTGAAGTGCTCAGCTGCAGCTCCACAGGCTGTTAGCCAAGAAATCCTGAGGGCTACATGTTGATTAACTTTTGTAAAGCACCATGTTATGTTACCAGCAATGTGAAAGAAGTATTTAATGAACTAAGGAGGAGTTTGTATTGTTAAACTACACACACATTTAAAAAAATTGTTCCAATTCAGTATCTCAAAATGTGACTGTTTTGAGACCTGAAATAGAAAGACTTGATTCGGTTTAAGATCATTTCTCCACCAGAATAAGAACAACCTGCTGACAGTGGCCGTTTCTCAATGTCGAGTATACAACGGCCAGTGTGGACACTTTGCAATGAAGTACTATTTGTTACGGTTTTGTATTTATGTTTTCATTTTCCACCTTTTGTTTTGAAATGTTTTCCTCCTTGTGTCTTCTCTGTTCCTTCTTCCTGTGTTTGCCTTCCTGTCATTAGTTCCCCTGGTGTGTCTGATTGTCTGATTGTGTTCACCTGTTGCCCTTGTGTTTCTGCCTCTCTTACCCCAGCTGTGTCTTGTCTTGTGATTACCCCTCCCTGTATTTAGTCTTGTCTCTTCCTGTGTTCCCATGTCGGTTCATTGTTGGTTTTTCCTGTCTTCCTCCATGTCAGTCACGGTTGTCTCTCCTGTCTCCCTCCATGTGGGTCACGGTCAGTTTTTTGTACAACCCATTTGTTTCATGCCTTGTTTTGATCAGCTTTTAAAATAAAGCTCGCTTTTTGTTACGAGACCTGTTACCTTTTTGATAGTCTGCATTTGGGTCCTACCCTTCCACGCCATCCTAACAGAATGAACCGACCAGCTTTGGACTCAGCAGACTCGGATCGCTTTGCTCTACAGGCAGAATGTCTTGGGTACTCTCTGGAGTACATTTTTTATACCTGGAATGGCGCCTCTTCTAGACGTGGTAGAGAGGCTGCGTTGAAGGAGGCACGTCAGGAGGTTGCTCGCCAGCCCTGGCTTAGGAGCATGTTGCCTGAGTGGCTACAACTTTTCACAAGTAGTCCTGAGGACTTGTCCGAAGCCTCTAACCCTTTCCTGGGGTATGACCAGGCCTGGGGAGGCCCACAGATCCTCCAAAGAATCTCTAGGAGACGCAAGACCAAGATTCCAGCCCGTGCTCCAGTGGTTCCAGCTCCATTCTCTGGCCCTTTTTTGGGATCCCGCCTGGCGTTTGGAGGTCCACGGAGCCTCCAGGGGGCCTCGGAGAAACGCAAGGTCGGGAGGCCGGCTCGTGGTCCAGTACCGGCCCACACAGCCATGGATCCGTGAACCAGTACCGGCCCACACAGCCATGCTTCCGTGCTCCATTACCTGGCTCACACAGCCAGGGTCCAGGCTTCTGTTCCGTGCCCAGCAGCCATAGTCACTGCTCCAGAACCGGACCTTACAGTCATGTTTCCGTGTTCCAGTGCCGGTCCACACAGTCATGGTACCGTGCTCCAGTACCATCCCACACAGCCATGGTTCCGTGTTCCGGTTCCGTGCCCAGCAGCCATGGTGCCTGCTCTAGTACCGGCCCACACAGCCATGGTTCCGGCTCCAGAACCGGCCCGTACAGCCATGGTTCCAGCCCCAGTTCTGGCCCCAGCAGCCATGGTTCCGGCCCCGGTTCCGGCCCCAGTTCCGGCCCCAGCGGCCATGGTTCCGGCCCCAGCAGCCATGGTTCCGGCCCCTGTTCCGGTCCCAGCAGCCATGGTCCCGACTTCAGTTTCGGCTCCAGTACTGGCTCCCCGGCCGACGCCAGCCCCCCGTGTCCTGTCGGTGGTCCGGCCGACTCCAGCACCTCGTGTCCTGTCGGTGGTCCGGCCGACTCCAGCACCTCGTGTCCTGTCGGTGGTCCGGCCGACTCCAGCACCTCGTGTCCTGTCGGTGGTCCGGCCGACTCCAGCACCTCGTGTCCTGTCGGTGGTCCGGCCGACTCCGGCCCCCCGTGTTTTGTCGGTGGTCCGGCCGACTCCGGCCCCCCGTGTTTTGTCAGTGTTTCGGCCCACTCCAGCCCCTCGTGTTCTGTCGGTGGTCCGGCCGACTCCAGCACCCCGTGTCCTGTTGGCTCTATGGCCGACGCCTACCCCATGTCCTGTGATGTTGGAGGTCCCGCCGACTACTCTTCTGCCGGGGGTCCTGCCAACCCTATGTCCTGTGCTGTTGGAGGTCCCGCCGACTACTCTCCTGCCGGGGGTCTTGCCAACTCCATGTCCTGTCCCATTGGGGGTCCCGCCGACTACTCTTCTGCCGGGGGTCCTGCCAACCCTATGTCCTGTGCCGTTGGAGGTCCCGCCGACTACTCTTCTGCCGGGGGTCCTGCCAACCCTATGTCCTGTGCCGTTGGAGGTCCCGCCGACTACTCTTCTGCCGGGGGTCCTGCCAACCCTATGTCCTGTGCCGTTGGAGGTCCCGCCGACTACTCTTCTGCCGGGGGTCTTGCCAATCCTATGTCCTGTCCCGTTGGGGGTCCCGCCGACTACTCTTCTGCCGGGGGTCCTGCCAACCCTATGTCCTGTGATTTTGGAGGTCCCGCCGACTACTCTCCTGCCGGGGGTCCTGCCAACCCTATGTCCTGTGATGTTGGAGGTCCCGCCGACTACTCTCCTGCCGGGGGTCCTGCCAACCCTATGTCCTGTGATGTTGGAGGTCCCGCCGACTACTCTCCTGCCGGGGGTCCTGCCAACCCTATGTCCTGTGATGTTGGGGGTCCTGCCAACCCTATGTCCTGTGATGTTGGAGGTCCCGCCGACTACTCTCCTGCCGGGGGTCCTGCCAACCCTATGTCCTGTGATGTTGGGGGTCCTGCCAACCCTATGTCCTGTGATGTTGGAGGTCCCGCCGACTACTCTCCTGCCGGGGGTCTTGCCAACTCCATGTCCTGTCCTGTTGGGGGTCCCGCCGACACCTGTCCTGCCAGGGGTCCTGCCAAATCCATGTCCTGTCCTGTTGGGGGTCCCGCCGACACCTGTCCTGCCAACTCTGTGTCCTGTCCTGTTGGAGGTCCCGCCGACACCTGTTCCACCGGGGGTCCTGCCAACTCTGTGTCCTGTTCCGTTGGGGTCCAGTCGACACCAGCCCATGTCATGTTCAGGACCCTGTCTACGCCTGTCCCGTCGGCTCCGGTTCCTGTCCGGCCGATACTGGTTCCTGCTCGTTCTCCGGAGCTGTCCCGTCGGCGCCTTCCTGCCCGGCCTCCGGAGCTGTCCCGTCGGCGCCTTCCTGCCCGGCCTCCGGAGCTGTCCCGTCGGCGCCTTCCTGCCCGTCCTCCGGAGCTGTCCCGTCGGCGCCTTCCTGCCCGTCCTCCGGAGCTGTCCCGTCGGCGCCTTCCTGCCCGTCCTCCGGAGCTGTCCCGTCGGCGCCTTCCTGCCCGTCCTCCGGAGTTGTCCCGTCGGCGCCTTCCTGCCCGTCCTCCGGAGCTGTCTCGTCGCCGCCTTCTTGTTCGCCCTCGAGCCCGGCCTCCTGACGCTTTCAGCCGCTGCCTTTGCTCTCATGCCCGGCCCCCTGAGTTCGCCCGCTGTGGTCTTCGCCCTTTTTTGAACTCTGCCTTGCCCCCGGGCCGTCCGCCCGAGACCCCCTCCTTGATCTCTGCCTTGCCCCCGGGCCGTCCGCCCGAGACCCCTTCCGGGTCCTCCGCTGTGCCCCTGGGCTGTCAGCCCAAACCCGTCCTCCAGACCCCCTCCACCCACCCTGCTGGAATTTTTTGGACTTTTGGGGGTTTTCTTGGGACGTCTGGAATCCGTCCCTTGAGGGGGGGGTTCTGTTACGGTTTTGTATTTATGTTTTCATTTTCCACCTTTTGTTTTGAAATGTTTTCCTCCTTGTGTCTTCTCTGTTCCTTCTTCCTGTGTTTGCCTTCCTGTCATTAGTTCCCCTGGTGTGTCTGATTGTCTGATTGTGTTCACCTGTTGCCCTTGTGTTTCTGCCTCTCTTACCCCAGCTGTGTCTTGTCTTGTGATTACCCCTCCCTGTATTTAGTCTTGTCTCTTCCTGTGTTCCCATGTCGGTTCATTGTTGGTTTTTCCTGTCCTCCATGTCAGTCACGGTTGTCTCTCCTGTCTCCCTCCATGTGGGTCACGGTCAGTTTTTTGTACAACCCATTTGTTTCATGCCTTGTTTTGATCAGCTTTTAAAATAAAGCTCGCTTTTTGTTACGAGACCTGTTACCTTTTTGATAGTCTGCATTTGGGTCCTACCCTTCCACGCCATCCTAACACTATTAAGAATGTTACATTAGGAGATAAGAAATAACATACATTTAAAAAATGAATAAACTTCATTTGGTAGGTATTGAAAAATGTCTCAGTTTGGGATATCTGTAATGATGACTAACTGTTTTTGTTGATTTGCGATAAAAAATAATTACCATACATGAAAGCTTTAGTTTACACTCTACTGTTAAGTAATATAAAAAAATATCTCTGAAAAGAAAGGTAGTATAAATGTGCTTTGTGTAGGAAAATCTTCCTGGGTCTTTACTTACTCGACACCATCGCTACAGATGAAGTGCTTAATGGTCATATGCATTTTGAAACAGCATTGAATCGTCATAACTGGTAAATACTTTTGTCTTGTTACCTGTTCGTTCAACCCATCAAATAACACAGTTTACCAAATAAATACTGAACCTTCCACTTTCCCTTATTGGGCTGTAGTATCCTCACACCATGCACACACACACACATTGATGTAAATGCGTAGATAAACAGTATGCAATCACATAATCCACAGCAGATCACACACACACACCTGCAGAGCCTCCAGAAAGCGGAAGGATCCGAGCCGTCGGCCCCGGGGAACCAGGCAGAAACTGGAGTTATGGAGCAGCTCCTGGTAGTCAAACCTGCACAAAAACACAAAGAAAAAATCAGTTCAGTAAAAAGACATGTTGCAGGCATCACAAAAAATCAAGGTCACAGGATTTGGTCATTCAATCATTAAAACAGAGGAGCGGTGCAACACAGATTTCATTGTAGACTGCTTGTTTGTTTGTTTTTCTTAAATAACCTGTTTTTATGTGACAGGCTGATTCTTTCAGCAGCGGTTAGAGTGACCTTGTCTTTGGGTGACAAACTGGACACCTGACATCTTATTTTGCTCGCCTCCTCTTTCACACAGACACACTAACACACACACATCACAACCCCCCCACACACACACACACACAGACCAACCACACACAAGCGCAGTGACAGTAAGTGATATGACAGATGTCACATCACAAAGACTTATCATACACACACATTATAGAGGGAGGCCTTCCAGGCAGGACACACACACGCACACACAAACACACACACAGGTGTATGTTGGTGAGGTTGTGGGGACAGTTGATCCCCAGACAGATTAGCCTGCAATCTGAAATATCCTCAGGCAAGCCCAGAGATCACACACACACACACACACACACACACACACACACACACACACACACACACACACACACACACACACACACACACACACACACACACACTACCTTTTCTTCATTGACTTTGGACAAACAGCAGTGACTTGGAAGTGGAAAAATTCAACCCCAATTTTGAGGTGAACGTGGAACAATCCAGAGAGTTTTTATAAACCTTCTATCAGGAGGGTGTGAATGTTTTATTTTAGTCTTTTTTGTAGAGAAATCTGTTTCAATTAAATCCTCACCTTTCAGTATGAAGCCATTAGCCTTTTTATCTAAACTATCTACGGCAGAAAGGTTATTCAAAGGACTTTCACATTGAGAGGGCATGTTTGAGATGGCACGGAGCCAGGTTATATTTACAATGGAGATACTTGGGCTGTATCTATTATCATTAAAGGGGCCCTATGCTGCTTTTTAGGGGTTTTCCTGTAGTGTGTTATACAGGTTGTAGTGCATGTGAATGGTCGGCAAAGGCTAAAATCACAAAGTTCGCTGCAGAAGGAGTTCTCTCCCACACATCTCTCTCGGTTGACCAATCACAACAGAGCCGGCCAGCTAACCAATCAGAGCAGACTGGGCTCTGGTTTCAGACAGAGGGTGAAAAGAGATGAAAAATAATGTCACAGTAGAGACACTAAATACTAATATAAAAACCTGGAAATGACCATGACTTGTCTCCTTTAAAAAAATACATTGTTCGTGCTGTAAATCCAGCTGCCGTCTTTCACGAAGAAGCAAACTACACAGAGTTGTGTTTGATACTTAAATAGATTTGGGATGGATTCCTGGAAAGCTCTACAGTACAGTCGTGTTGCATCTGTTGCTTAAAGTCTAGACTAACCTCTTGGTGAAACCCTGCTGTGAGGGGTTGCTTACTCCCACTAGGATAAATCTAGCTGTAAAATATTAGTGTCTGCCTTCAAACACTCGCATCGATCTCACTTGACGGACTAAATGCACCATGCTGTCAGATCAATATTTAATAAACCTGAATTTAAGGTGAGAAATTCTCTCTTCACATATCTTGATAAGATGAAATGGTGTTTGATTATATAACAGCTACCTGTGGACTATTTGCACGTTTCATTATTTATCTGCAGTGTATCTCTTGGTGTGCTGGAGCTAGTACTCTACAAGCATGTCTTTGATGAAAAAGATAACGTCCTTGAAAAATGCTATGCTTGCTAAGAAGGAAAGTCCTTTAGATTGATCCTAAAAATAATATTAATATCACACTAAGGGGAAAGGGGAAACCCCCAAAAAGCACAATAGGGCCCCTTTAACACTTAGGGGTCTTACCTTGATTAACCTTCAATATGCAAAAGTCTCTCGAGATCATTGAGGTAAGGCATTGACCTCTGATGGTTAAGGTTAGGATAGGTCGTCGGTAATTTAGTCTCACGAGAGGTTTCGCAAATCTAGAGTTACCATTTACTGACTTTCCATATAACCATGTCCAATTTGAACTGGTGCAACTGTTGTGGATCCGAAACCTTAGACACTCAAGACATAACCAAATATAACAAAATAGAAAACACAGACACACTGCTGACTGAAGGAATTATTATATTGTTGTATAACAGTATAAGAGCCAGAATACTTGCGTCAAGTCCGCCAAGAGTATATGTGTCTGTCTAAGAATAACAGAATCTCACAGGTTTTATACACTTCTTTTTAGTTTACACAGCACTATACCTTTGGACCTTTACGATCACATGTTACAAGATCCTATGCTTAATCTGCAAACAGACATGTGCACATTCATGGTACAAAGGTCTCTTCAGATAAACTAGATTTCGCGGCCCACATTCAACCATAAACAATACGGAGGCTAAATAAAGTTCTGATTGGTCAATTCAGAACATGTGACACGTTGTAAATCCAGTAGAACAGACCGCTCTCAAGGACTGTAATGACCGTTGCTAAGGAGGATCAAGAAAGAGAAAGGAAAAGAGGTTCAAATAAAAAAAAATCTTAACAATGAAAACATTTCCAAACAAATCATGATGTTTTGCAAATGATTTGGCGGCAAATATTGAATTGACATTTACACCCTTTAATATTTTATTTGGGCTTTTAGATGAAGACCGCACGCAGTTAATAAATACAACTATTCTTCTGGCTAAAATACATATTTTTAAAAGTCAATCAAGGAGTAATCTTAATTTAAGGTGTTTGAAGAGTAGATTCAAAATACAATTTCTTTTGGAAAAAATGATTGCCACAAAAAATCAAAGGGTGGCTCAACACGCCATGAAATGGGAAATAATGAGCTCTAGTGGGATTAAAGGAACAATAAATATGCTTACTATTGTGTTTTTGGTGGTTTTTGGTTGTCAACCTATTTTTGTTTGTGAAATGTTGAAGTGATCCTACTGACTGTATCTTTATTTCTTCTGTTTTTGTTTTGTTTTTGTCCTAGATGGGAATGTCATCTCCTATATGTTATAGTAATGTCCATGTTAGTGTCTTTAGCCGGTACAAAATGTAAAAATTATTATTTGGCGGCCCACTTGCAATGCCTTCGCGGACCACTAGGGGGCCGCAGCTCACAGGTTGGGAACCGCTGAACTAAAGCAGGAAACTCAAGAGCATGGCTTATAATACATGATCATATAATATAGATTATTTCAACACAACCGGCTCCTTGCTACTGGTTTTCGCTGTTTGCAGCTGTTTGCATCAGCCAGATTTAGGGATAGTGTTTCAGAAGCTTTGGATACAAATCCTCTAGATAAGACCCTTCTTATATTCACCAACTGTTGACGAGCTTCCTAGGTTCTCTAGTCGGGGGTTTCTGATTTGTTTTTCTGCGTTGATGTATTCTACATCTTCATCTGTCACTGCAGCCTCCTCATGGCTCAGTGTTTCCTGGTACTCTGGCACCATGGAGCTTTTCCATCTGTGTGTAGGTGTTTCCTCTCAGGGATTCTTCCAGGGAATCAGGCCTCTACATCCCCTGGGAAAACATGCTTTCCTGCCAATTGTGGTCAAGACGTGACATGGCAACAAATGCTTTACACACCATTGCTTATAGTGCATGGAGCAGCAGAGGATAGTGTTATCTTTTTGTTTCTATTACTGTTGTTTACTATCTTCAATTTCAAGTTAAAACGACATACATTAATCTAAAATAAAGAGATGTTATTCGCAGTATTTGAATAACACGAACAAGAAGTCCAGTGAGATCCAATTAAAAACAACACTAAGAATTGCATTTAACATGGTCCTAAAAGCCACTTGACCAAACTGCATTTTCCCATCAACAGCCCTGCAGAAATATCTCAGACCAGAAAGGCTCAGAGCAATTTCCACCCTGTCAGTATAGAGTTTACTCTGTAGGCTCTTCACTTTATTGCTGTCTACCCACTCTCCACATACTGTGTTTAGAATTGAAAAGGTCAGTGATCAAGGACAAGGTCGAGTCGCTGCTCCTCCTCAGTCCACTTATTGATTTACTGGGAGTGGATCCCCTGAGAAACTGGGACACACCAGCTGCTCTGAGAGGGAAACCCAGGATATCCCAAGAGGAGATGGAGAAATTAAGCGAACAAGGACATATAATCTGCTCTGCATGGTGTGGTGCCACCATCACTCTGATCCAGATAATGGTATCAAAATAGACCCTAAAAAGAAATACTCAGAGACAAACTCTTTGCATTGCATACAGTCTTTTCAAAATGAACCTTAAAGAGGACCTATCATGCTATATTTGAATAATATATTGTAGGGCCATACCTATATAAGGTATATTTATAAGTTTTCTTTTTCAAAATACCAAATAGATCATGCATTTTAGCCATGCTCTCCTCCACCCTGTCTTTGCATGTGCTGCAGCTGACCACGCCCCCCTGCAAAGGAGGGGGCCGAGTTACGAGCGTCATGTTACCATGCTGTTACCATGCTGTTACCATGCTGTTACCATGCTGTTACCATGCCACGGCAACCTCTCATTCCCCTGATAGGTGGAGAGTTGGCCATATAGGCGGAGCTCCTCCGTCCTGACGTCAGAGAAATGTTCAAATCTGTATCAGTCGGGATCAGATCCGTTGCAGCCCCGTTTTTAGAGATTTGGGTATGGAGGAAAAGAGAGAGGGTTGTGTTTTCTGACACTTGGTGAGTTCCCTGGAACACCGGGGACACATATTCATGTATAAAAGACGTAAGAAAGTGCATTTTGCATGATAGGTCCCCTTTAAAGTAGGTTTACTCACTTAGCAAACATATAGTTAAGGCAACAAGTATACTTGGTTAGGCGATGGAACAGATAGCAGTTTAGACCAAAGAAAATATGCTTTTTATGTCAAATGAGAAGGTTTGTAAGCTATGTTTAAGGAGCCCTATTAATGCTTTTTGAAGTTGTTCACAACAGAGCCGACCAGTTAACCAATCAGAGCAGACTGGGCTCTGGTTTCAGACTGAGGGTGAAA